CTCCTACTACTACTGCTACTGCTGCTACTGCTACTGCTACTGCTACTGCTACTGCTACCACCACTCATATCTTCTCCTGGCAGGGACATGCGGACGGACCAGGAGCTTCAGCCGCTTGCTGTCGCGAAACTACTGGCGAAAGTTGTGGAGAAGGCAACACGTGGCTGCCAAGTTATGCCGAAAGCATCAAGCAATAGTTAGTGTGAATAGTAACACCCTAGGCAAGCAGTGAACGAACAGTTAAAAAGAATGAAAGGGTGATGCTTACTGCTTACAGTACCGACAATCGCACTACCATGTATATCGCTGTTTTACATCCTAGTTACATCCTAGTCATAAATAGTCGTCAGGGTGTTGCCGCCTTGTCGTGGTCTTGGACGGGAAAGAGTCTCGGTCTGATAGTGCTACCCATAGCATCACATAGCAAGAACGTTTGTAATGGTAATCAGATGAGCTAGGATGAGCCTACCAAAAAGTCATTGTGCCGAGAATGATGTCAATACTACTGACTAAACTTTAAACCTAGACCTAGACCCTAAACAAGTAGAGAGATTTTCCTTGCTGGTGGCTGGTAGCCTCTAAGCCCGGGTCGTCGAGCACTGGGCAGGAAACTCCGAGCGTAGTTCTGCTTGGAAAACAGGTCGGGGGCTTACTTTGCTTGCGTTCTCTGCAGGGTTCAGGGTTAGAGGAATTGAGTTTTGTGGGTTGTGGCTGTAGACTCGTTGAAAACGTCAGTGCATTGGGGGATCATGACTTGATGTTAGGATGTAGAGTATGGTGCGGGACCGGTAAGCCCTGAACTCTCTACCAAGCACCTCATTCTCGATAGCACTGAGCTCGTGCTAAGCTTGTTACCAGTAATGTTAAGCCCTACACCCTCAAGTACTTGTAAGCCCCATACCAAGTCATCCGTCCCCCGAAGCCGCAACCCTACACGCCGGACCCCAAGCCCTTAACCTCGCGCTTTTCAAACCCTCAAATAACCCCTACAGTGACCCGTAGAGTAAAATCCGTGGGTTCCGAAAATAGGGGACCCTAATATAGTACCCTAAATAGTAGGATCCCTATTATAAGGACCCCCAAATAAGGTAGAGCGCTCTGAGGCGATAGATGATGACAGTAACCAGACTGGTGCTCTCCTGGCTGGCCGCGGCTTTCAGACCTTCGGTCTTTTTGAGATTCGTTGAGGGGGGATGGGCTCATTTTCGCACAAATAAGAATTTCTGCAGGATTTTCATTGTGTCTGGGCTTCCTATCGATGTGGCGAATCATGGCCTTCGGGCTTCATTTTTACATTTAGAGCGGGTCTCTATAAGGTTTCGATGGTCCCTGCACTTTCTACTGGCGCTTTTGGCTTTCTACTGGGGTCTTAACCATGTTTCCAGGATGTTAACCGAGCCACTTACGTCTTGGAAGAGCTTCGGGTTGCGGTGTGCTTGTTTCAGGCTCCGGTACCACAGTTTTAACATTCGCCCGTGTCGGGTTTGCGCCGAGGCGTTTGGGACTCGATTGCTTGGTGTTTTGGAGGCTTGTGTGTGGGTTTCGGATGTAGTATCCGGAGTTATGCATTCATTACTCAACCCCGTGACCGTAATCCACAACCCTGACTACCCAATTAGAATAGGGTTTTGGGAGTTCCTTATTGTTGTTATAGAAAATTATACCCGAAGCCCTGTTCTAATCATTATCTGCCCCTGAAGCCCTACACTCTATACCCTAAACCCCCTAAACCCTACACTAAACCCTAAACCCCTAAACCCTACACTCTAAACCCTAAACCCCTCAACCCACACTCTAAACCCTAAGCCCTAAACCCCTAAACCCTCAACCCTAAAGCCCTAAATCCCAGCCCCCCAAGCGGACCAGGCCTCCTGAAGTGGCCACAGGCGGGCTGCGCCTCCAAAGTGGAGGCTCAACAGTCATTGGAGGATCATGGGACTTAGTAACTAGGGTTATAAATAAGGTAACTATAATTATAACAAAATATTGTAGCTGCGCCTCCAAAGTGGAGGCTCAACAGTCGTACTCAGAGACTCCAAGTACCCCTTAATTAAGGAATATACCTTTAATCATAGTAGGGATCCCTACTATGATTTAAGGTATATTCCTTAATTAAGGGATATTGGAGTCTCTGGGATCATACCAGGACCCTCCAAGTACCCTCAAATAGGGGTATATGGTCCCAAATTATGGGTATTTAGGGGTCTAAGGGTTTAGGGTTGATCATTTCTACTTGGAGGATCATGGGGCTTAGTAACTAGGGTTATAAATAAGGTAGCTACAATTATAACCCCAGTTAGGGTACTTATAACCTTACTTACTAAGTCCCATGGTCCTCAAAATAGCAACACGACCGAGGCTAGGACTACTTGTGGTGTCTAAAGAAGGAACAGCAGGGTTAGGGCTTAGTTTTTCTTGACCCCTTCGTGCTCTCTGTCGTGCTTGGGGGTTCATTGACGAAGGTTTGGGTCAGAAGCCAGGTGGACGACGGAAAGACTGCACTCACAGTGGCCCGTGAGGCGCGCACATGCCTCGATGATGAGTAGCAGTGCGACGACTTGAAGATGTTGGACACTTTCCATGCTCCCGCCCCGAGCCCCGATGTTTGAGACTGAAATGTTTTCGACATGCGACAAAAGACTCTTCTTCATGATTCACCATGTGCCAGGTGGATGCAGGCATCCAGGAAGTCAAGGTTCCTCTCCCCGCCGTCGCAGTGCCCTTACGCATGAGCTGGGCTGCAGCGGTGAATGGACCGCCTTGGACCCCCGACTCGATGTGACTAGCTGTTACTATCGAGGCTTGGATCAAAGGCGCGCAGTATTACAAGTAAGTAGCTGCAGTCTCTTACAGAGCTTCAACAGCGGCGACACCGCGTGGATGGCCACTTCTAGCACTCTTGTTTTGCTCATGACGCCAGGTCTCGCAGTCTCTTCATTATGATGGACTACCTCTTGACAGCAACATCGTGATGACGATGATAATGATGATGATGATGATAGTGATAAGGATAAAGATGAGGATGATGATCATGATGATGACGCCAAGCTCTTGCAAGCGAGTAGGCCAGCGTGCCTGCGTTTCGTGGGCGGTGTGCATTATCGCTGGTTTCTTGTCCGAGATCTTTGGGTCCAAAGTGCGAAACCTTGTTACACGCATTTATTTGGTAGGATGTGTTTGCACTCCATGTGTAGTGGCCGGGGCTCACCTTATTCTGAGCGACATGATTTTCCCTGCCAGCCACCATGGTCTGCAGAGTTCTTAGTGTCTTAGTGTGCTCAGCTCCCCGAAATCTTAGACACACTTCCGAACGCCAAGAATCCTGAAATTCGAAGCCCGTTGCTCCTAAACCCTAAACCCTAAACCCTAAATCCTAAACCCTAAACCCTAAACCCTAAGCCTTCGAAGGTCACGGCGGACCTGCGCCTCAACGAGCCCCGTGCCAGCCTCAGGACTGGACTTAGGCAAGTCACGTTATCGCAGAATTTTAATATAGGGGCCTAGATCTAGATAATTACCTACATTATTTTTTGGGGGTTCCGTATTATTATTATTATTATACAAAAAAGGGCCCCAATATTAAGGCCCCTACATTATGGTTATAACGGGGCATAGTTGGAAACGCAGCGCAACAATGACTTCTTAGCAAAAGAGCAATCACCACACTTCTGAGCACCCTCAAGTATCTCAGGAGGACGCAAGCACAAAATGAACAGATTCCTCCGAGCCTCGCCACTGAACTGCAAACTCTGGAAGCCATGGCTCAGGCTATGCCACGCTGCCGAACCTCATGAAGGCTAAGAAGAAGCCCATGGAGGCCACTTTACACAACCACAAGCGAGCGGCGAGCGGTATGCGAGTCGTGGATTGTTGCAGTAGTGTGCCGTAAATGACAGAGCGACCAGCCAAATAGCACAACCAGGGGAATCGCTTCCGGCACTTGCGACTCTCAAACTGAAGCCCCATGCAAACACTTGACCCCAACCCCACCCGTTGCTACTGTATTCAGTCAGTAGATATGAGCGACGAAATCTGTTCTTATTCATCTGCTGGACGTGTCTGTTCGAGAGCTGTGCGTTGGCTCCGAGGGGCCTCTTTGCTTGTGTCCCACGGTGCACCAGAAGCCATGCCGAAGTGGGTCTCCCGGACAGAGACGGCAGTGCAGCCGACAGTCGAGGCGGGAACTGGCACAGCAGATACGGTGTTGGAACTACCCAGGGGCTCCAATGTAGCTCCTTTTTGGGTCTGTTATGGTTTTTTGGTAAGGAGTTATACTATACAATCCAAACAAGGAACTACATAGGAGCCCTTGGGTAACCACTTGCATATCGCACCGGCTTGCAACAACGGAAGCAATGATCCCACCAACAAACACAGCCCTGACAGTCTCTTGATGTCGGCCAGCTTTGTCTTGATTTGTAACAGCCGTTGGCCTTTTTTGTAAGTTTGTAAAGCCGAAGAATATTTTCGGGAGCTAGGCTAAGCGTGGACTACGCAGCCTGAAGCCGTTCCGCTTTGCTGGATTATTTGGTGGGTGGTAAGACAAGAGATGGTCGTGGAAACACGCATAATCGTCGCTTTGGCTTAGGTTTAGGGTTAATGAGCGTTTGGGGTGTTAGTGTTGGGCTACGACGAAGGTTGGGCCAGTTTGGGCATCGACTTCCACATTCGATCCACACGATCATTCTATCCCAATTCCAGACCTTGCAAACCACGTGTCCAAAACAGAAGTCCGACACCCTAGCCTCAACCCTAAACCCCCTAAACCGTAACCACTATAACCCCAGCCCTAAACCCTCAACCCTAAAACCCTAAACCCAGAACCCTAAAACCCTAAACCCCTAAACCCTCAAAACCCTAAAACCCTAAACCCCTAAACCCCTAAACCCTAAAACCCTAAACCGCTAAACCCTCAAAACCCTAATCCCCTAAACCCTCAACACCCTAAACCCTCAACCCTAAAACCCTAAACCCAGAACCCTAAAACCCTAAACCCTCAAAACCCTAAAACCCTACACCCTCAACCCTAGAAACCCATAGCACCCTAACCTAAAGCCCGAGACCCCAGAGACTCCAAGATCCTTTAATTAAGGGAATATACCTTAAACTATAGTAGGGATCCCTAATATGATTTAAGGTATAGTATATTCCTTAATTAAGGAATATACCTTAAATTATAGTAGGATCATTTTAGGGGATCCTACTATAATTTAAAGGTATATTCCTTAATTAAGGGATCTTGGAGTCTCTGAGACCCCAGGCTGAGCTCGCATTCGGCCACTATGCGCCGGCGCGATGCTGGCAGCGGAGCATCGGCGGAGGGCCCCTCGTCGAGCCGTTTTAAATACAGGGCTCTTTAGAGGGTGTCGAGGACTTGGGGTATTGCAATAAACTCCCGAAGAGAGGTACCAGGTAGAGCAAGATAGGAATGTATCATGCCAGTAGATTTTGGAACACATTTCTGCATCGTTTCCAAGTCCAGTCAAGAGGTCCGATAAGATGTGTGTCTATACTAACATCGTCATCTTCGTCATGCTTCGTCTTCTTCTTCATCATCATCATCACCATCACCATCATGACGATGGCATATGTGTGTATGTACAATATTGAAGGACAAACCTAGTGTAGTGACCGAAAGAGCAATATTTGACCTGAGCAAGTTCTATACAATTGCAGCTGAAGCGGTCGGGCTTAGGGCTGAAGTTAGTGATTTGTGGGAAGCTCTGTTTTGGAAGTTGAGATCGTCTTGCAGGGTGTCCTTCTTGATAAGCATCCTTTTCATGTATTGAGTCTCTTATTTGAAGGGTTTGCCCGCTTCGCTGTACTTCTGCCGCGCTTCTGCCCGACAACATGTCATTTTTATGAGCAGTATGATGACTCAGCTCGCGGGCATCCTGCTTATGCTTGCGTGATCTTGCTCGCTTCTGCAAACATGAGCTGGCACGGCGACAAGTGTCCACGTGCATGGGTTTTCCGCTTGAGCAAGTCATGAAAGAGCCGCGTTGGCTGTAGTCACAGCAGGATGGCCTTCCGGTAAGACTAGCCCAGGTTTCATGACCCGGCGGCATCGAAAGGTTTCGGTGAGCCCAAGGAGTTCAAGCAGTGGCTGGACGCCTGTCTTTAACAAGATTGGGTCTAAGAAGTTGAGGGTGCACATGGGTGTATCTTGCCGAGAGTCTTCTTGATATATAGGTTTTGATATCTTTACATGACTTTACGTTGGTCTCTTTATTGAAGCCGCCACTAAACCAATGCCCTAGACCCCAAACTGGGGCACGATCAGCTCTTCTTCCCAAGGCCTTGTTCTGTCAAACTTCGGCCTTGAGAGATTCAATAGCGTTAGGGACGACAAAGCTAGGGTTTAGGGTTTAGGGTTTAGGGGGGTATCTTGGCGTGTGTTGATGCTTTTGCAAATGATTCAGACATCTAGATAAGGAGGGTTTCAAGCTTTTAGATCCCCGGTGTTTGCGCGGCTTGCTCCCGCGGGGCGCCAGGATAACTGGACGAAGCCCGCGCCGCCACCGAGCTGGCTTTGGCCTCAGCGGTTGACACTGATAGCCGCAGCCGTCCAGTGTAATATAGGGGCCTTAATAATTCCCTATACTATTTTGGGGGGTTCCTTATTCTAATTATACTATACTGCGCCCCAGAAGCCTATTCTAATTATTAAGGCCCCTACATTAAGTCCGATGTGCAGCGAGTGTGGTTTCTCAGTTGCCTGCCGGCTGACAGTCCAAAAGCAGACTGAACATGTTTGGCCTCGTACCGCGAACATTCGACCATAGGCATTTAATAGTCTAGGTTCTTGCCCCAAGCAACCCGCGACCGACACTAACAACTGGCTTGTCTGCTCTGGTCATATTATGGCGTGCGCAGCCCTTGGCATGACATCATCATACCGCTCGCTGCAGCGGCAGCAACCTCTACACTCTGTTTCTTGCTGGGTTCTCCCGGACTGGAACCCAAAACCGTGATTCTGTAAGCCTGATGCCTCTAGGCCCTGAAGCCGAGATCCGAAACCGAGACCGAAGCCCAGATCCGAGGTCTATTAAAACGTCCGGCACCAACACAAGCATGGTGCCGAAGGCTCGGCTAGAGACAACAGCTCCTGCATGGTGCCCTGCTTCCGAGTCGCTTCTGCGCTTGGCCTTACACCTACAGCTACTGCTACTACTACTACTGCTACTACTACTACTACTACTACTACTACTACTAAGTACTACCTCCTGCTTGTCATCCTACAGTTTGGCCCTGAACGTTGACATCCCAAGTCGCGATTGCTTGTTTG